AACATTTAAAAAAAAAAAAAACTCTTAAAATTATTTTCAGTACCCTTTCCTCCACACTCAGTATCTTCTTGCCTTATCCCAAGACTGTTGCTATTGTTAAACTGACATTTCCCAGGGCGGCTTCATTCAGCACAGTTCAGGGCAAGAAATCTCTGGTCATGAAAGGTTCTTAGACAAGAGTTACTAATTCATTTTATAACAGTGTTCAGCATGTATGTGTTGGTTGTGTTACATGTGCCAACACCACACTAATACTAATGATAAAACTGGTCAAAGCCCCTGTCTTTATCAATTTGTTGACTTCATACCGCTCTGAAATGTCTGAAGAGTAATTACAACCCATAGAAGAATACTTGCACTCCCGTAGAATAGAGTTCTGAAACAATGAAATGATGACGTATTTTTGACATCCTGTATTAGATGACAGGTGGTTAAAGACCAAATGTGAAAAACCTCTCTGATTTTAGGGTTGGTGATTTTTTTTCCAAAGGAGAAAAGAGTAGGTGGGTAGCATATATGTTGAGTCTCTGTGGGCAGGATTCACTGACTTGTTTAGTTAGCTGAGTTAGGTTTATTACATTACTGTAAATTTATTACAAGTAAAGGTACGTTAGGCTTCTGGTATGATTGAAAATCCAACATGCTAAAATACAACCTACTTGGTATTTTTATTTATGGAGAAATTTTAATCAGGGCAGTTAAGAAAGTGCTTTAAAACAGTAAAGGAAAGGGAAAATGAATTACAAAAGTTTTTCTTTCACCCAGTATAAACTTACACAATTTTCTAAAATCTAGAAAGCTTGCCATTGCAGTGATAACAATACAAAAGCACATTTTCCCTATTAAAGTAATTAAAGCTCTTTGATTTTAGGAACTGGAACGAGCATGGAGAGAGTATGATAAGTTAGAATATGATGTGACTGTTACCAGGAACCAGATGCAAGAACAGCTAGATCGCCTTGGTGAAGTTCAGGTACAGAAGTGAATGTCTTTTTGCATTGTCTCAACTGGTTTTGACTGGTACTGTATACCTTGTTATCCATGCATGCCCTTAACAGTTTTTACATTACTGGCCACCTAAGACCTGGGTTTTAATACTTTCAATAATAGGACTCTTAATATCCCACAAAGTAGCCCATCTCTCATTGTTCAAAAGTTCTTTATTCTGTTGGGTACATGGTGTGATCCCTGTCATGTTTTGCGCTCCTAGCTAACTATATGGAAGTTAGTATTAAAGTGTTGAATTAAATGGATTTATCAAATAAAGGGTAATTTGTGTCTTATAAAACTTATTCTAATCTGGAGCACCTGGCTGGTTCAGTCAGAAGAGCATGCAACTCTTGATCTCGGGGTTATAAGTTCAAGCCCCAACACTGGGTGTAGAGATTACTTAAAAATAAAAAAATAAAAATGTATTCTAATCCATTCTATATTAAATGTCTCTTTCTTATCAAACTGTATTTAGCCTATAGACTTTTGGTATATTATTGAATGGGGAAAGATGCAGCACCATTTAGCATAAACAATCAGATCTGGAATCAGGTTCCAGGTGTTAATTTTCTAGTCTATAAAATGGAACAATAATACCTGTCTTAAAGTGTTGTTCTGAGAAGTGGAGATAATATACGTTTAAGAAAATAATAAAAGTCACTTCATGTTTGTGACCCTATGTAAATTTGGTCATCTGCATTGGAAACTGTGGACTCAACAGACAAGTCAATACAAGGAGTAAAGGTTAGTAAAGTTTACTTGGAGAAAACCAACTGTCCTCCATCTTTGCTGTTCAGTATAGTAACCACTGGCCACATGCAGTTGTTGGGCAATTGAAATGTTGCCAGTATGCCTGAGAAAGAACTTACCCATGGGTCAGCAAACTTTTTCTGTATAAGGCCAGATATTAAAATATTGTAGATGTTGCAGGTATATACATTTTGTCACATAATCTTGGATGGTTTTGTTTTTGAGAATGAGAAATTTTTAAATGAGAAAATTCATTTTTAGCTTTCAGGCCAAAGTAGTTTAACTTGATTTAACTTGACAAAAACATTCATCATGAAAATGTAATTTCTATGTTATAGGACATAAATGGAGAAGTGGAATTGGTATACCATGTTCATGGATGGCATGCTTTAACATTATCTCAGTAAAAATTCTTCCTATAAACTCAAATGCTGTCCTAACCAAATTTCATCCAGAAATTTTTGAAAAAATTAACAAAATGGTTCTCATATTTTAAAGGTATAATAAAAGCCACAATAGTTATTGTTTTGAAAATATAAAGAACTACAAGGCACACTCTATGAGAGATAACATTGCACATAGACCAGTTACATGACAACTCTGCACTTCAGTTTTCATGACTATAAAATAATAGTGCCTACCTCTATCGGGTTATTATAATGGCTAATATGTTGATATTTTTGAAGCACTTAAAATAGTATTAGGCATATAAAACATACTGATAAGTGTTTATTAAATAAGTAAACAGAGTGCCTGCCTGGCTCTGTCGGTAGAGCAGGCAACTCTTGATCTCAAGGTTGTGAGTTCAAGCCCCAGGTTGAGCATAGAACCTACTTTTTAAAAAGTAATAAGTCAGTAAGAAGACAATGGCTTAAACAAAAAGATGGCATACTAGGGAGAAGTATTGTTGACCACTGATTCAACAAAAGTTACTATTTAGATCTCCAAGGAATTTTCTTCTTGGTTTGGAAAAGCAATACATTAGAAAAATGGATGAGGAATATGACCAGCTTTAATCTATAGAAAGTGAAACTCAGATTGCTAACAAGTGTTTGAATATTGTTTGCACCAGTAATCAGATAAATGAGAAATAATACAAAAATGAGACTTTCATTGTATACTTTTCAGATAGGCTATATATTTTTTTTAATCACTGCAAAAATAATATATATTCTATATAGGACATGTGCACATATCTGGTTTTTATAACTGAAATTCACTCCCTAGAAGTCTATGTCAGTATTCACATCTCTGGGTTGTCATTGTGTTTGGCTCTTGTGTGAATATTTCCTTCATTTACTCTGATGCTTCCAGCCCTGTAGCTTAGAAAACTGGATAACTAAGGTTGTGTAGTGCCTTTTTGAAGCAGCATTAGTACATAGTCTTTACAGTTATAGACTTTGAAAGCATGTTTTCACCCCTTGGAGGACTTTTTAGCTTACTAATGAAACATACTGATTTTATTCTCATATCTATGATTGTCAAAAACATATTAAGTGAAAAAAAAATTTTTTGGTAACTGTGACAGTACTACTTTCATTGCCCTTTTTTAAAAAAAAATAAATTGGGGCGCCTGGGTGGCGCAGTCGGTTAAGCGTCCGACTTCAGCCAGGTCACGATCTCGTGGTCCGTGGGTTCGAGCCCCGCGTCGGGCTCTGGGCTGATGGCTCAGAGCCTGGAGCCTGTTTCCGATTCTGTGTCTCCCTCTCTCTCTGCCCCTCCCCCGTTCATGCTCTGTCTCTCCTGTCCCAAAAATAAATAAATGTTGAAAAAAAAAATTTTTTTTTTAAATAATAATAAATAAAAAAATAAAAAAAATAAATTTACATTCCAAAAAAGCATAATTCTTTTTATCAGAAGTATTGATAAAGTCATAGAGTTCTATTAGAATCTTACTTTCAGTAAGACCAATAATACCAATATGATCTTATTTTCTAGAATTTCTAGTACTTAGGAAACTAGTATACTTCCCATTTTTTTTCTTCTCCTTTAAATTTTTTTTTTTTTAATTTGGGTTTTGTGAGTTTCTACTTTATTTTGTTTTCTTTTTTTTTCCCCCCATGTTTTAGTCTCTTGTGATCAGCAGTAATGCAAGGCAAAGCTTATTGAAAAGAAGTGAAATAATGCACTTAGGTCTGAGAAACTGAATTTTTTTTTTCGACTTTTATCTTTGCCACAAAAGTTGCAAAATTGGGAGAGTTCGTAGTCTTCAAAACTTAATCTACTGCAGTTCTCATTTTTTAAAATATATACTTAGTTTAGTTTACAACTTTATTTTTTCCTGTATGTGATCTCTTTTTACTGATAGACTGAATCAGCAGGAATTCAGCGTGCACAGATTCAGAAAGAACTTTGGAGAATTCAAGATGTCATGGAAGGACTGAGTAAACACAAACAGCAAAGAGGCACTACAGAAACAGGTAAATTAGCTTTGTGTTTTATTCTGCAGTAATTGACCATAATATTATATCTAAATGAAGTGACACAGGGCATCTGGCTGGCTCATTTAGAAAAGTATACAACTCTTGATCTCAGGGTTATGAGTTTGGGCCCCTCATTGCGTGTAGAAATTTCTTTAAAATAAATAAATAAACTTTTTTAAAAAATAAATGGAATGATACATAGAATTGGGTTTCTTTTGTTAATGGACTTTTGACATCAGAAAACAGGCACTCCTGTAACATTGAGTCAGTACACAAGTTTAGATGGTAAAAAGCAAAAGTTCTGGCAACCTCACCCACAACAAAAATAAATTACTGTTTTATGTATTTAATTATACACACACAAAATGTTTTGCTTTTAGGAATTTTTTTTCCCCACAACAAAAAATGGAATCATACTATACTTATTTTTCAACAATTTGGTTTCTTTCTCCTTAACAGTACAATGCAGTAATAGCTGTGTAAGAATTCATTGTATAGATGAATTATAATATGTCCATTTCTGTGTTTTTGGACATATAGTTTGTTTCCAGGTTTTGAGTTTGTTTGTTTGTTTTCTATCATAAGCCATGCTGTAATGAACATTACTGTATATATGACTAAACACACATGCTAGTACTTATGGATTAGAAGAAGTGGGAAATGAGCACACATCTTCCATTTTGATAGTCACTGCCAGATTGCCCTCTTAAAAAATGGTACTGACTTATATTTACATCAACAGTACTTCAGAAAACCCATTTCCCTGTACTCTTACTTAAACTAGATATTTTAGGGGCACTTGGATGGCTCAGTCAGTTAAGTGTCTGACTCATGATTTTGGCTCAGGTTTGGCTCATGATCTCACATTGCGTCAGGCTCAACACTGACATCATGGAGGCTGCTTGGGATTCTTTCTGTCTCTCTCTCTCTGCCCCTCCACCATGCCTCTCTCTCAAAAATAAGTAAACTTAAAGGCGCCTGGGTCGCTCAGTCGACTGACCATCTACCTTTGGCTCAGGTCATGATCCCACAGTTTGTGAATTCAAGTCCGGTATTAATGAGTTCGATCCTCGCATTGGACTTACTGCTGTCAACACAGAGCCCACTTCAAATGTTCTGTCCTCCCCCACTCACACACTCTCTCTCTCTCTCTCAAAAATAGTAACAAAAATAAATAATAAATCAACTTAAAAAATAAAAATAAACTAGATATTTTAACTTGTATTTTTTAATGTAATTGGCTTCCAATTCTGAAAACATTAATAAATGAGGGGTTAGAACTGAAAGCTTCAGTTAAAATAAGTCAAATGGGGACGCCCAGCTGGCTCAGTCTGTATAGTATGTGATTCTTAATCTCGGGATTTGTTAGTTCAAGCCCTATGTCTGCTGTAGAGACTACTTAACAATGGAATTTTTAGAAAAAATAAAATAAATGAAATTACTCCTTTTTTATGTGGATTTAAAAGATATATTTAATATATCTTAAACTTATTTAATATAAGTTATGTTTTATAATTTTTTTAATAGGTATGGCAGGATCAAAGCCTTTCTCAACAGTTAAGTACAAAAACGAGGTAAGTTTGGATTGTTTGTTTATCTCTAAATTATTTTAAATGTGTAAAACATGAATTGGAATTTAATTGTCTTTTCTTCATAACAAAAATGTTTCCTAAATATATTTAAGTTATTGTTTTAATCTTGAAATTTCGCTGTTTCAGTAATTTGATCCTTCTAACAGATGGCAATTTTTCCTCCCTTAATGCAAAAAAAAAAAAAAAAATCATTATTTTTCATTTATGTTAGAACTTTAACATTGTCATACTTTTTCTAATATAAGTAATTTGAATATTTATCATTGTGTCTTATTCTTGGTAAAATTTATAGGATGATTGATAGATAAGTTTGCTGTGTGTTGTGCATACCATAAAGAAATTACAACTACAAAGAGATACTGTCAACCTAACTGAAAGCATTTGTGGTCTTGAATTTTATATTAAAACCAAACAAAAAGAAGTTTATTTTTTCCCTTAAAAATTACAAAAACAAATAGGCAATAAGATTTTTTAATTAATTATTTTCTTCTACTTTTAAAGTGAAACACTGTAGTCTCACATCTGTTTTGATTTTTAGCTTCAGATTAAAGCTAACCTGAATGTTACAGGAAAAAATTAGATAAAACTATTTTTTTAAGACCCAGTTACTGGCTATCATAAACATTCTTTATTTTACTTTTCAGTATGAGACTGACTTTTGGCTTGGCAGTGTCCCTTTAATTATCTTAAAGTGATTTTTAAGTTAACTTACCATTGCAAAGAATTTAGATATACTTAATTCAATATGCTTATCTAAATAAGGTGACTATTCTACAATCTTTAGGAAGAGGAAGTAGTCCCACCTCGTCCTCCACTTCCTCGGTCCTATGACTTTACAGAGCAGCCTCCCATAATCCCCCCTCTGCCCAGTGATAGCAGCTCCTTGCTCTGTTATAGCAGGGGCCCAGTCCATCTGCCTGAAGAAAAGAAGATTCATCAAGTTCAAGGATATCCAAGAAATGGATCTCACTGTGTAAGTGGCTTCAATAGCCACAGAATAATCAATCATGTACATGCCCTCTCATTTTTGAAAGTTAATTTATTTTACACTCAAACTTTTTTTTTGTTATAACCCCACTTTTAGCCAGTGCTTTTTTGTTTGTTTGTTTTTTGTTTGTATTTAATGTTATTATCTGTGTTTTTCCTGTTTTGGTTTTGCCATTCTCATTTCTTAATGTTTTTATAATTTTAATACTTCATAATTTCATATTTCTAATGCTTTTGCAAAGTGGTTACTTTACATTTGTCTAAGACGTCTTATTTTAAATATACCATTTCAGGATATTAGAGACAAAATAATATATTTAGATCAGAAGGAAGCAAGAATGAAAAAGATCATTCTAGGAATGATAAAAGGGTTGGGATATGGGCCATTCCATCTAGGAAAACTATTAGAGGATATGGACATTGCCAAGGAGAAACATTCATTATCCACGGAAGCTGAAAATAAGAGGTTTGGGGTTAAATAAATGTAAAATGTGGTAAGCTAGAAGAGAAGTAGGAAGGTAGGGAATAGGGCCAATTGAGTTAATATGATATAATTATTTTCAGATTTCAGTTTTACTATGATAAAAAATATTCTGACTTTGTCCCTAAGAGGAATATTTTTAATTTAAAAGCCAAAACTTTTACTGATTAAAATATTTCAGATTTTTTTCCACCTAAGCTGTAACATATATGTCAGTTGTGCTTGTCCCCAATATAGCTGGCTGAGACTTTTAGTTTTCAAAGTTTGATTTGAGGTAAGCATTTTAAAAGAAACTTGTAGCAATTTTTTTTCTTTTGTTTTAAAATTGCACATCTTCTTTTCAAGGGTCCGGATTATAGACTCTACAAGAGTGAACCAGAGTTAACAACAGTGGCAGAAGTTGATGAGTCTAATGGAGAAGAAAAATCAGAACCTGTTTCAGAAATGGAAACTTCTGTTAAAGGTCAGCATTAGGATATGTTTTATCTCCTGTGTTTTTCAGACATTTTAGCAATAAGCTCAGTGTACATGTTGGCCCAATACATAGACAAATCCATAGTCCCTTATCTGAAACCTTTGGAATCTGATGAGCTTCTGAATTCAGAAATTTCAGGTATTAGGAAGGTAACATGACCCATATGTAAACCATATATTACATGTCATTTCAGCTAGGCATGAGGCAGCATCCTCTTTTGAAATCAATTAACATTCCTGGAATATTCATCCTAAGTGGGATAAAGACTAAAAAGGTTCATATGCCAAACTTTTGAAAAGTTTTCCATTTCCTGAGAATTGGGGAGAGGGAGGTTTTAGGTTTTTTCTGTTTCAGAATTATACATAAAGGATTAAGGGCTGAGGGACACCTGGCTGACTCAGTCAGTAGAGCCTGTGACACTTGATCTCAGGGTCGTGAGTTGGAGCCCCACATCGGGCATAAAGTTTACTTAACAAATAAATAAACTAAAAAACAAATTCCATGAAATAATACTACTATGGGTGTACTCTGATTTTTATATTGTATTTCATTTTTACCAGAAACTAATCTCTACACCCAACGTTGGGGTTGTTAGTTCAACCCTGAGATCAAGAGTTGCACACTCTTCCAACTGAGCCAGACTTTTTTTCTTTTTTTAATGCTGGTCATTAGTCAGTGTTGTGAAGAAAAAGGATAGAGGAGGCACTATTCAAGATTAAAAGGTAGAAAAGCCCAGATACAACAGCAATACTTAACCTTGATTGGATTGTGGTTTAAAAAAAAGTCTCAATCGGGGCGCCTGGGTGGCTCAGTCAGTTGAGCATGTTCCCATCCCCACCCCACCCAGCTTGCACTTTCTCTCTCTCCCTCAAATAAATAAATAAATAAATACTATATATTTTTTAATAATAAAAAAAATTTTAAGTCTCTAAAGACGTTCTTGGGACAATTATGGAAACTTAAATATGTTCTGGAGATTATTGACAGTTAAGTGAAATTGTGGTTGTATAGGAGAATGTGTAAATGGTTCACCAAAATTTGTGTGTGTGTGTGTGTTCACATACAGTTGACTTGAACAACACAAGTTTCAACTATGAGGGTCTACTTAAATGCAGATTTTTTTTCAATAAATGCAGTATAGTACTATAAATGTATTTTCCATATGGTTTTCTTTTAAAAACATTTTTTTAACATTTATTCATTTTTTTTTGAGAGACAGAAAGAGAGCACAAGCAGGGGAGGGGCAGAGAGAGGGGGAGACACAGAATCCGAAGCAGGCTCCAGGCTCTGTGCTGTCAGCACAGAGCCCAGTGCAGGGCTTGAGCTCATGAAACGCAAGATCATGACCTGAGCCGAAGTCGGATGCTTAACCAACCGAGCCACCCAGGCACCCCCCCCATTTGGTTTTCTTCATACGGTTTTCTTTTTCCTAGCTTACTTTATTGTAAGGATACAGTATATAACACATGTACCATACAGAATAATGTGTTAATTGTCTGGTCACCAGTAGGCTGTTAGTAGCTAAGATTTTTAGTAATTAAAAATTATATGCAGGGACACCTGTCTGGCAGTCTGTAGAGTATGTGACTCTTGATCTTGGGGTCGTGAGTTCAAGCCTCACATTGGACAGCCCCATGCTATTAGTGTGGAGCCTGATGCAGGGCTGGAGGTCACCAGCTGTGAGATCATGACCTGAGCCAAATTCAAGAGTCTGACGCTTAACCAACTGAGCCACCCAGGTGCCCCAATGGTGCATATTATTATAAATACACAGGAAATATTAAACTGCAAACAAATGTTTTAGCAGTATAGCTAACTAGATGCCCTGGCCAATCCTCCTATTCCTATAGAAAGTGATTCTAATTGCTGGGTGATACCATTCTAAATTTTTTTGAGAATCTTCAACAAGTTAAGGAAAAGTAAAGAAAGGGACGCTCACCTTATGTGAAAGGTAGTGTATTTGTTTCCTCAGGCTGCCATAACAAAATATCATAGACTGAGTGGCTTAAACAACAGAATTTTGTTTTCACAGTTCTGGAGGGTAGAAGTCCAAGATCAGGGTCCAGCTGGGTTTGGTTTCAGGGAAAGACTCTATTCGTGGCTTGCAGATACTGCCTCTTGCTGCACCTCACCGGGCTTTTCCTCTCAGTTAAGCAGAGAGAGAGCACATGTTAGCTCTCTGATGTTAGCTCTCTTTTTAGAAGGTTACTAATCCTGTTGGATCAGGGGCATGCCTTTATGACCTCACTTAACCTTAATTACCTCCTCATAGGCTCTATCTCCAAATATAGTCACATCACGGGTTAAGACCTCACATGAATTTTAGAAAGTCATAATTCAGTTTGTAGTAGGAGGGATCCAATAAGTTAAGTGGAGCACTAAAGTGCCTTGTGACAGGACAAAGCTCAGATCCTGAAGAAATTACAAGTCTTGGGGCGCCTGCGTGGCTCAGTTGGTTAAGCGTCCAACTATGGCTCAGGTCGTGACCTCATGGTTTGTGGGTTCGAGCCCCACATCGGGCTCTGCTCTGACAACTCGGAGCCTGGAGCCTGCTTTGGATTCTGTGTCTCCTTCTCTCTCTGCCCCTCTGCCTCTCTTAGTCTGTCTGTCCGTCTGTCTCTCTCTCTGTCTCAAAAATAAATAAACATTTTTAAACAAAAAACCAAGTCTGATAAGACACCCCCTCAAGGAAAGCTGGAACCCTCCAAAGGCTGTACTCTCTATGAAAACTGAGATTAATTAGATTTCATCAAAATTTAAAACTTCTATCCATTAGAATCGGAGAAAATATCATTGGTATATATACCTAACAAAGTCTTCGTATTCAGAATATATAAACAACTCTTACAAATCAATAATAAAGACAACCCAATAAGAAAGTAGGCAAAAGACTTAAACACTTAACAAATAAAGTATACAAGTATATGAAAAAGTTTACAACTGATCAAGCATAAATGCAGTTTTGATGCAAATTAAAATCATAATTCACACCTTCTGGAATAGCTAAAATTAAGACTACCAAGTGTTTGTTAGGACATAGAACAGTTGGATCTCAAACACAATTCTGATGGTGGTGTAAGAAAGAACAACAGTTTTGTAGTTTCTTACAAAATTGAACATGCAATTATCGTATCCAGCAATTCTCCTACATATTTACCTAAGAAAAATGGAAACATCATTCCTCAAAAAAACTTATACAAGGATTTTTAACCATAGTTTTAATTCATAGTAGATAAAAATTGGAAGCAACCTGTATTTCTGTAAACAAGAGTATGGATAAACAAATTATGGTATCTTCAAACTCCTTAACAATTAAAAAACACTACTGATAGATGTACATGTGTAACTTAGCAACATGTATAAATGTGAAAAAAAATTATATTAAGTGAAAAAAGCTTAACACAAAGCAGACCTAGTGTATGAATCCCTTTATGTGAAGTTTGAGAACAGGCAAAACTCATCTATTGGTGATAGACAACAGAACAGTGGTCATCTTTGGCAGAAGGGTGGGATTCCCTGGAAGGGAATTTTGTGGGGTGACGAAGATGGTCTTTGTCTTCACTGAGATAATTACACTGGCATATGCATGTGCAGCTAGGGGTAAGAATACATTTATAAAACTTCACCAGTTGTGCACTTAAGATCTATTCATTTTAGTTGTACATTTTGCGTCAATAAAACTTGAAGAAACAGTAAAGATAAAGATAAAAACTAGAGAGTTTGCCACTTAACCGTCACTTGAGAGAGTTCTGCAGTTTTCAGATAGAAGCAAACTGGTCAGATAGGGAAGGTCTAAGAAGCAGAGAACTAAAATATTGGATACCAATAGCATATAACCAGGACTAATTTTGTTGATATTAACATGTTCTAAAGTCCTTGTATTGTTCCAGAGGATGGTAATGATCATGATTACCTTTATATTTTAATAAGTTTAGTGTACATGCTTAAGGATAAGATAAAGAAAAGAAATAGACTTGGGGCGCCTGGGTGGCTCAGTTAAGGGTCCGACTTCAGCCCAGGTCATGATCTCGTGATTTGTGAGTTCGAGCCCCACGTCAGGCTCTGTGCTGACAGCTTGGAACCTGGAGCCTGCTTCTGACTCTGTGTCTCCCTCTCTCTGCCCCTCCCCGTTCATGCTCTGTCTCTCATTCTCTCTAAAAATAAATAAACATTAAAAAATTTTAAAAAGAGAGCAGGAGCTGGGGAGAGGGGCAAACAGGGAGAGAAAGAGACTTTTTTTTTCCATAGTTTTTGTTTTTTTAATGTTTATTTTTGAGAGAGAGCACACACGCACACATGCACACACAAGTGGAGAGGGGTAGAGAAGGAGAGGGAGACAGAATCTGAAGCACACTCCAGATTCCAAACTGTCAGCACAGAGCCCGACACAGGCCTCAAACCCACAAACTGCAAGATCCTAACCTGAGCCCAAATCAAGAGTCAGATGCTTAACCTCCTGAACCACCCAGGCACTGAGAGAGAGAGAGAGAGAGAGAGAGAGGCAGGGAGGGAGGGAGGGAGAGAATGAATCTTAAGCAGCATGGTGCTTGATCCCACAACCCTGGGATCATGACCTAAGTGGAAACCAAGAGTAGGATGCTCAACCAACTGAGCCACTGGCTCAACAAGTGTTGGTTGCCAACATTTAAAAATTGGGACTTTAGTGAAGAAATGGGCAAAAAGACATGAATAGACACTTTTCCAAAGAAAGCATCCAGATTGTTAGCAGACTCGTGAAAAATGCTCAACATCACTACATCACTTACCATCAGGGAAATACAAATCAAAACCACAATGAGATACCACCTCACAACTGTCAAAATGGCTAAAATTAACAACTCAGGCAACAACAGGTGTTGGTGAGGATACGGAAAAAGAGGTTCTCTTTTGCATTGTTGGTGGGAATGCAAATGAGTGCAGCTACTCTGGAAAACAATTCCTCAAAAAATTAAAAATAGAACTTTATAGAATTTTTATAGAATTTTATAGAATTTATCCAGAGGATACAGGAGTGCTGATTCTAAGGGGCACATGCACCCCACGGTTCATAGCAGCAATATTGACAATAGCCAAAGTATGGAAAGAGCCCAAATAACCCATTGACTGGTGAATGGATAAGGAAGGTACACACACACATACATACATACACACATACATACATACATACACACATACAGTGGAACATTCCTGGGTGATCAAAAAGAATGAAATTTTGCCACTTGTAACAACGTAGATGGAACTAGAGTGTATTATCCTAAGCAAAATAAGTCAAAGAAAGACAGATATGATTTCACTCACATGTGGAATTTAAGATACAAGACAAATAAACATAAGGGAAGGGAGGCCAAAATAATATAAAAACAGAGGGAGACAAACTATAAGAGACTCTTTTTTTTTTTTTTTTTTTTTTTTTTTTTTTTTTTTTTTTTTTTATATAAGAGACTCAAATACAGAAAAACTGATGGTTGTTGGAGGGGTGTTAGGTGGAGGGAAGGACTAAATGAGCAAGGGGTATTAAGGAGGACACTAGTTGGGATGAGCACTGGGTATTACATGTAAGTGATGAAACACTAAATTTTATTCCTGAAATTATTATTATTCTATACGTTAACTAGGATTTAGATTTTTAAAAATAAATAAATAATAAAAAATTTTTAAGAATTGGGACTTTAGAGGCGCCTGTTTTGTTCAGTAGTTAAGCATCAGACTCTTGATTTCAGCTCAGGTCATGATCTCAAGGTTTGTGGGATCAAGCTCCACGCTGAGCACAGCCATGTCTATGCTAACAGTGTGAAGCTTGGTTGGGATTCTCTCTCTCTGTCCTTCCTCTTCTTGCTCTCTGTCTCTCTTTCAAACTAAAAATTTTAAGAAAATAAATAAATAAAAATTGGGACTTCCTAGGTTTTCTTAAATACCCAATAGATCTAGGGGCTCCTGGCTGGCTCAGTCGGTAGAGCATATGACTCTTGATCTTGAATGAGTAAGTTTGAGCCCCACATTGTTGGGTGTAGAGATTACTTAAAAATTAAAAGAAGTCAGTAAATCTAGCCAGAGTGCCCCTGTTTCAACAGCACTTGTTTCCTAGACCTAACATCTACCCTCTTCAAAAAGCATATGCGGGGTGGGGGGGAGGAAGTTGCTATTTATCACATGTGTAACATTCTTAATCCCTGTGGGCAAAGTATTTAGAGCATATATAAAATAAGGACTACATTTTATGCTTTGATTTTGCATTTTCTATTCCATTCTTTTTCTGGTTCCTACATAGTCATAATACCCCATGATCTATAAGGGATAATTGTCGCCAGTCAAGTCTACAAAATTTAGAAATTATTTAATAAGTGAGTTCAACTCATCAATAGACTTTTTTTTAATGTTTATTTTATTTTAGACAGACAGACAAAGAATAAGCGGGGGAAGGTACAGAGAGGGGGGACAAAAGTCAATGCCATATCTGTACTCATAAAAAATACCTTGTCTGGCATGTGTTCTCTGTAGGGTTTGGATTCTTCTTCAGAGTTTTGCTGCTTTTAAAATTTAGGTGTTTGTTTATTTTTTGAAAGAATTCTATTGTCTGGTTTTTTTTAATCTTTATTTTTGAGAGAGAGGAGGAGACAGAAGATCCAAAGTGGGCTGTGTGCTGACAGCAAAGAGCCCAATGCAGAGCTTGAACTCACAAACTGTGAGATCACGACCGACCTGCAGATCAGAGCCGAAGTGGGACACTAAAGCGATTGAGCCACCCAGCTGCCCCTGATTTTTTATTTTTATTTTTAATGATCTCTGAAATAAGAGATCACTTAGTGGGGCTTGAACTCATGACCCTGAGATCAAGAGTTACATGCTCTACCAACTGAGCCAGCTAGGCATCCCTAGATGTTTGAGTTTTTGTTGGTTTTTTTTTTTTTTTTTTTTTTAACTTACAAGCTCTCACCTGAATAAATTGTCTGAAATACACAGATAAATTATGGTGTAATTTGTGCCACATGACTTAAAGTAGAACTTTTAAAAGTGGATCACTAACTGGGATAATAGAGTCTTTCTCTTAGTTTGAACTGCAGAATTACCTATATTGTGTAGCAGTTCAGCACTTCACGTTCTTAAATATACAGCCTTACAATACTCACACAGTTCATAAACAATATTAAAACCTAAGCTACAGATTGTTTGGTGTGTAAATTAAAGGGACCCTGAATGACTGATGTACCATTTGTCTTTGGGGGAGAAACTAGACTTCTTTTTTCTACTCAGTTGATGTAACTTTAAGTGAGCTCAAAGAGAGTGGTTTGTTTTTTTGTTGTTTTTTTTTTTTAAGTAAGCCATTGAGATTTTAATAATTTGTTCTTTTGCTAGTGTCCTCAGTGAATAATAGTGCATATATTCTACTTAAAACAAAATTAATGCGATATAACTACGTACATTTTATGTATTAACTTACTTTTAGCTTTTATTGTTGTTGGGTTAATGATTTTGTGTTGTGTGTTTTGTTTTTTATGGTGTGTGTCCATTTTAGAAATTAATTGAAAATGCAAAAAAGTCACAGTGATTACCTATAGTTAACTGTTGTTAACATTGTTAGTGGATTCTCTTGAGACAGTACAGTGTGATTGAAAAGAGACCAAATGGAAATTAAGGGCATTTAGGTAAATCACTTAACCTTTCTGGGCCATTCCTTTCCTGATCTGCAACATGTGAGAGGATTAAGGTCCTTTTCAACCTCTGAAAATACTGCAAATGGAAAGAAGGCTACAGCAAAGAGAAGCCCCAGCCATGCTGCTGATGAGCTGCATGGACTTGAGGAAGTAAATTAATGCAGACACTGCAGTTCATTTACCTTCTTTTCTTTAGAAGATTGTTGTGAAGATGTCTGATCCACTGAGTATTACTGATTTTATAATTAAATTTTTTAATTAAAAAAAAATCTGTAGAACTTTAGACAGAGTAACTAATGGAAGGCTACTACATTTTCCCTGGCTCTTTTTAAACGATAAATCTGCCTTTTGGAGCATCTGGCTGGCTCAGTCGGTAGAGAATATGACTATTGATCTCAGGGTAGTAAGTTTGAGCCCCATGTTGTGGATGGAGGTTAGTTAAAAATAAAATCTTTAAAACAATAAACCAATAAAAATAAATTTGCCTTTTAATTTTGAAAACCTCAGAAATGGAGTATGTCAGGGGCTCCTGGGTGGCTCAGTTGATTGAGCATCCAACTCTTGATTTCATTCAGGTGATGATCCCAGGGTTATGGGATCAAGCCCTGATTAGGCTCTGCTTAAGATTTCCTCTCTCCCACTGCCTCTCTCCCCACCCACCCCCCACACACACGTTCTCTTGCTCCATCTCTCTAAAATTAAAAAAAAAATGTTTTTAATTAGAAATTGAGTACCTCAAAAGAAAGCAATGTTGTGTGAAAGATGTTTTGTAGAACTTAACTGGTGTTTTCATTTTTAGGTTCCCATTTTCCTGTTGGAGTAGTTCCTCCAAGGACCAAATCACCAACACCTGAATCTTCAACGATAGCCTCTTATGTAACCTTAAGGAAAACTAAGAAGATGATGGATTCAAGAACGGTATTTAACTAGAAGTTAATCTTTAAAAGGATTCTTAAGGCCTATTTATTGTTTTAATTCCATTGAGGAAATTAGTGTCTAGGGGACAGACCTACTCAATACCTAGTCTAGGTTTGTTTTGATCAGCTTTGACATGGGGTCTTAGTCCACAGTTTGTGGAATCTGTTTTCAGACAGCTGTCTCATGTTACATCTCTTGATACCTCTAAGAATTTCCTTAAAGAGAGTGATAGACATGTCCTATGGTCATCCAAGGTAATGGATTTCCAAGCCAGCCCGAGTTTACAGGGCCTTTCAGCTATGGTAGATTTGGAGTTTGCCAATCCTCTGGTTACTCTGAGAAATGTGAATTGGGATTGGGAAAATAGCTTCTATATTTCATATATTCATCTGAGATCCATTTAATTCAAACTGGCTGTAAACCAGTCTAAGCTTGGTCACATTGAGAAGATTATCAGCATACTTAACTCCTTTTTACCAAGTAGTCTCAAACATTTGGGGTGCAAAAGAACTTTTACTTTTCATCTTTATAAATTCTATACTTATTTGGTATGGGTAATTTGATAATTTTAAACTATAAGAAAAGAATGAAAAGTACTACAAATGATAAGATTTATGGTTATTCTTGAGAGATATTAAACTACAGGTACAAAGTATATGCCTAAAACATCTGACAAATTTATATACAAGAAATATAATATTTTAATGAGTACAAAATTATAAAGACCTAGAAAGATAATTATTGTAGAATCAAAATAAATGAATAGCTATATATTTGCAGTCATGGTTCTATAATACTATTGTTTGTTTAGAGGCATTTTTTTACAGATGGAAAAATTTCTTTGGAAATTGTAATGCTAAAAAAAAATCAACAGAAAAAGGTTTTAAAAATGTATGTTGAGGGGCACCTGACTGGTTCAATTAGTAGAGCATGCAACTCTTGATGTCAGGGTGGTGAATTTAAGCCCCACGCTGGACATAGAGCTTACGTTAAAAAAAAAAAAAAAAAAAAAAGTTAAGGGACCCCTGGCTGGCTTAGTTGGTGGAGGGTAGAGGGTGGTGTGACTCTTGATCTTGGGGTTGTGAGTTCAAGCCCCACGTTGGGTGTGGAGATTATGCATAAATAAATAAATAAATGAAAATACTTTTTAAAAAAGTTAACAGTGTATGTTGAGATAAAGAAGAAAGATATTAGTGGACTTATATTCTTTCTTTTTTTTAATATGTAACTATCTTAAATAGTAGAAGAAAGACTTCTATATCACCAAATACAGGAGTGGGGAAGGGAGTATAGAAGACTCCAGTTTATTATTGGTACAAAAAAGACCTTTATAAGCAATATCAGTTTCAGAATAAAATACTTGGAATATAACACAAAATTTCCATAATATATGAGGAATGAATATACATAAGTTATTTTTAAGAGTTTCTTTTCTATGGAAAATATGTAACAATAATTCACAAATATTCTTCAACCCCATAATAATTTTTAGAATACTAATAACTAAAACTGTAATGACATATTCTTTTCCAGTTATCATTAGAGAAAAGATCTAAAAATTAACAATATCTGACCTTTAAAAACAGATTTTTACAGGGGCTCCTGAGTGGTTCAGTTTGTTAAACGTCCGACACTGGCTCCATCATGATCTCACAGTTCATGAGTTCAAGCCCTGCATCAGGCCTATGCTGACAGCTCAGAGCCTGGAGCCTGCTTTGGATTCTGTCTCCCTCTCTCTCTGCCCCTCCCCCACTCATTTTCTGGCTCTCTCGCTCTCTCTCACTCTCTCAAAAAAAATTTTTTTTAATTACAAATAAATAAATAAAAACAGATTTTTACTATATGACAACTTGAGAAGAAAGTTGCAGTGTGACATTATTGTATAAACCTAGAAAAGCCAGGAAGACTGCATGTTTATTGTTACTAAAAATAAAAGGATAAAATAAGAAACTTTAATAAAATCTGAAATAAAAATAAAAGAAAAGGGATGACTATAGTAGCCAATTCCCAATCTATATTTAGAATTTACTTTTTTTAATTTATTTTTTTTTTTTTGGTTTGGTTGGTGTTTTGTTTTTTCTTTCCAAAGCTAATGTGTTTTATTTTACATATAAATGAAAATCATCGTTACTTCTGCAAATTAAGGCTTTTCAGTTTTCCTCTTTTAGATTTTACTTGAGCTCTTTAAGATACTTATTCTATACAATAGAAAATGGCTCTAGAGCTATCACTCCTGCCCTGCAAGCATTTTCCAGATTGCTCAAGAGAAAAAAGGATCTTAGTGGGTTTGCCTGACGTATTGCTTCCTCACGGAAATGCTCATCTCTGCCCTAGGTTTTTTCAAAAGAAAGCAACTTCACCAATATCTCAGTCAGTTCCCACCAACCCAGACCAGAGGGCACAAAGAAACCTATGGATTCTATGCCATAGATTCTAGAATATGTTCAGTCTTCAAATTTTCTGTTACATAAAATAAGCTAAAATTTGCTTGTGACTAATATTGAAGTTCTTATTTGGCATTTTATACCGATATTGTTTTACGTCTTTAATAAGAAAGTGAGATTAAGAATTGGTTGTTTAATTTTTAAATCCTTATTGATCATAAACTGAGGATGTTTTCTCTGCGAAGTCTTTTCACAGTAAATGTTTGACTTAAAACATATTTTGGAGCACCTGGGTGGCTTAATTGGTTAAACGTCTGACTTCAGCTCAGGTCATGATCTCGTGGTTTGTGAGTTCGCCCCACATTGGGCTCATACTGTTAGCACAGAGCCCACTTCAGATTCTCTGTCTCCCTCTCTCTCTGCATCTTCCCTGCTGGTTCTCTCTCTCTCTCTCTCCCCCCAAAACAAGTAAATAAACTTTTTTAACAAATTAAATTTTCATTAAAATATATCTTCGGGCACCTGGCTGCCTAGTCAGTAGAGCATGCAACTTTTGATCTTGGAGTTACGAGTTTGAGCCCCACATTGGTATAGAGATTACTGAAAACTAAACCTTAGGAAAAAAAAATTAAAAAGGAGGGGGGCACCTTTGTGGCTTAGTCAGTTAAGCCTCTGACTCTTGATTTCAGCTCAGGTGATGATCTCATGGTTCCTGAGATGTAGCCCCACATTGGGCTCCTCACTGTCAGCCTGTCAGCGGAGAGCTGCTTGGGATTCTCTCTCTCTCTGCCTCTCTGCCTCTGCCTCTCCCCTGCTCCTGCTCTCTCAACATAAATAAAATGTTTAAAATAAAGTCTTATATTTAGATACTGTGCCCGCTGTGTTCTCCTAGTTTGAGTTTTATACAATTTCCTGTTTCATTGACTGTGCATCACCAATCACCAGTGAAGGAAAAAACAGTTTGCCTTTCTGGTGTTAACTAAATTAACACTCAAAGCTCCACTTGTGATTTTGAGAACAAAATAAATCCTTTCAGAACATTTTTTATCCCAACATACTTTTCAGAAGTTATTCTGTATTGATGTGTTCATATGTCTATTTCTAATTTAAAGGAAAGACCAAGAAGTGCAGTGGAACAGCTCTGTTTGGCTGAAAGTACTCGACCTAGGATGACTGTGGAAGAGCAGATGGAAAGAATAAGGAGACATCAACAAGCGTGCCTGAGGGAAAAGAAAAAAGGATTAAATGTTATTGGTTCTTTAGACCAGTCACCCTTACAAAGTCCCTCAGGCTTAAGGGATAATCCGTTCAGGATTACCCAGGTACATCAATTTGCTTTTAACCATTCTTGTGTGTAAATGTAGTATCACTTGAGTCAGGATCTGGAGTTACATGATTGATGGGTTTTCAAATGTCTGCAGTGTGGATAGTTATTTGATTTTACCTAATGTCCATAATAATAAGCTAAGACAGCTCAGTAAAGTGGAAATAGCCCTGGGTTCAGAAAACGAGAGCCATCTTACTTGTTGGACATACTTGTACCAGTTGTGGCCTTACTCTTCTCTGCTGTAAATCAGATGACACAGCCCTACCCTGTCTACTTCACAGAGATACTAAGGTAAAAGTGCTTTCAGCGAATGTAAAATGCCACGCAAGTTAACGAGATATTCCCCAATTCCCCCTCCAATAAAATGTGTATTACTCTGTGTCCTAGTTTAACATGACCTAAATTGTAGCAGGACAGAGCTTCTCAGTAAAAGCGTAAGTCTACTATTCCTTACATCCCAACTCCTGCCTTGCAAAGAGACACCATTCCATTTCTTATTGTTTGTTTGTTTGTTACCCCGATTCATAAATACAGAGATAGCAGACGAGCAAACCTTTTCAGTAGCTTCTGTCTGGCCTGTCCCTGTTAGTAGACATGCACCAGCTGAAAGGGTTTCCCTGTCTTCCTAGAAATCCCCTTTCCATCTAATCAGGAGCATCCAGGCACTGCTACTAAAGATTCAGCAGATTAACCGCTGAAATTGCACATTCTTCAAATTACAAAATGGGTAATTAAAAGAGAAAAAAAATGCATGGAATACTGATATATATTTTTTTTTCTTCCTATTGGTTTTCATAAGAGAACCTCCTTGTACGTGAAGATCAACCTTTTTTTTTTTTTTTTTTTTTTTTTTTTTTTTTTTTTTTTTCAAAATAACAGATGCTATCTAAAAACTGTACATAGTATGAATCTATGCTATATGTCTTTCGGACAGACTCGAAAAAGGGATGATAACATTAAGGAACTGGATACTGTCATTAGAGAAAATGATGTGAAGCCAAACCATGAAACTCCTGCAGCAGAAATTGTTCGACTAAAAGAAAGTGAACCTCAAAATACAGATTTCAGCAAAGAGGTAAAGAGATTACTTTTGAATAGATATTCCAAAGGGGTAGATTTTTGAAGATTAGATCAAGTGGTAAGGTTGAAAATAGTTATGTTTCATTTCATCACAGAGACCCTACGTCTAAGTGAAATAGGTTTTGTTAATTTGAGTGATGTATTCAGCACATCAAAAAATGGGTTAATTGAAAAGTTAAAACATAAGTAAGGCTAGAATAAATTATTGTTAACCCCAGTTAAAGAATCTTATGTCCCAAAACACCTAGCTGTTAGCAACGTGCATCAGCCCTTTAGGCAAGTAACTTTTTGCTTCCAGTAGTAAAGGATGTTAATATTTTTAGAGGTACGTAGGTGGCTCAGTCAGTTAAGTGTCCGACTCTTTGTTCTTGAGTTCAGACACCTGTCAGCCTCTGCGCTTCTTAGGGCAGAGCCTGCATGTGATTCTCTCTCTCCTTCTCTCTCTACCCCTCCTCTGCTGGCGCTCTCTCTCTCTTCTCAAAATCAATAAATAAAACATAAAAAAAAAGAATGTTAATATTGTTAATATACTTGAATCTGAATATGTATTTCAGTAACTATTTGACAGGGTCTAATTTTTTAATACACATTTATTTTTGAATCATTTTTCTTCTTATTCTATAGTTGAAAAGCACTGAGGACATTTTTTCCACAACACTTTTTAAACCTGAACCAAATGGAGTGAATTCTGAGGAAGTGATGGATCAAGAGAGAAACAAAGAGAAAATGTCTGAGGATGTTTCATTCAGGTAATAAGTAATAGGGAAAACAACAAAGGAATCATTCCCCAAATACTATAACTACTTAAGAATGGTGAACTTCAGAGGTGACTGGGTGGCTCAGTCAATTGGGCGTCCTACTTCGGCTCAGGTCATGATCTCACGGTCCGTGAGTTCGAGCCCCGCGTCAGGCTAACAGCTCAGAGCCTAGAGCCTGCTTTGGATTCTGTGTCTCCAGCTCTCTCTGCCCCTCCCCTGCTTGCGCTCCCTCCCTCCCTTCCTCCCTCCCTTTCTCTTTCTCTCTCTCTCTCTCAAAAATAAACAATCATACATTAGAAGAAAGCATGGTGAATTTCAGAGTCAAAAAGTCTTGGATTCCTGTCCCAGCTTAGCTACTTAAGAGCTGTAGGATCTTAAACAATTTACATAAACTTCCTAAACTGCAGGTTCCTTACTTGTAAAAATGAGGATGATAATAGTATCTATCTCACAAATGTGTTGCAATGATTAAATAAGAAAATACAAGTATAGCACTTATCACTATGCTTCTCACCCAGGAATTCAATAAATACCTTTTTAAAAATGCCAAGAGATGTATAAGGTCTATCAAAGTGAGCCACTTCAGTATTGCCTGCATAATGATAGGCAATGATAGACATTGATCAGATATCTAAGTTATCTGATGTGTTCCAAAAATTATAGTGATTTGCTATTTATTGTTTAGCTGCATTTCTTAACTAGCCTTCTTATGTGTATACCCTCAATCTTACCCTCAGTTAAAAATCTATGAGTTTATAATGATACAACAACAAAAAAATCATTTGTTGGCCACTCTGGACGATGCTAAGGAGTTGACTTCTTATTCCAAAGTCTGGTGCATAAAGGCAAAGAATCAAGTATTTTTCTTGCCTTTCCCAAACAAATTGCAACCAAAAAGTTTTTGAGGAAATATTTTTCTTTTTAGAAGAATTTTATTCAATAAGGAATGAGAGACTTACACTATCACAGCTTTGCTAGCCTTAAAGAAATAAGGGATTTAGGCAATACTCCTCAATGGCTGGAAAAGCTGTTAGCTGAAAATCTGACAGGGAACTTTATAGTGAGTGGATCAAGCTGATAACCCTTGAACTCACTGATCATTTTCAACATAAAGAATAGAACCTGTTAATGCAATAGGGCACAAACCCCACCTAATGATCTACTGTTTGCCCCTTTCCCCAAAAAACCTAAATCTGATCAAGCTTCAAAATGCTATCAGTTTATAAAAAATAAGAGGAGGGGCGCCTGGGTGGCTCAGTCAGTTAAGCGTCTGACTTCAGCTCAGATCATGATCTCATGGTTTGTGGGTTCAAGCCCCATGTCAGCTCTGTGCTGACAGCTCGGAGCCTGGAACCTGCTTTGGATTCTGGGTCTCTGTCTCTTTCTTTGCCTCTCCCTCACTCATGCTGTCTCTATCTCTCATAAATAAATAAACTTAAAAAAATTTTTTTTAATAAAAAATAAGAGGAATAAAATCATCAAAATACAGAATGTGATAAACTATGTAGGATGGAGAAAGCAGGTTCTTTCACAGATAAGTGGCAAAGAATAAAAAGGATGTGTGTTGTGGGGTATTTTAAAGTTTAAGAGACTTGTCAGGCAAATACAAATGTGGACTTTGGATCTTCTTGAAACATAACTCTAAAATTGGTATAATGAGGCTATCAAGGAAATTTGAGCACTGACTAGATATTTGATGACATTTAGGTATTATAAATACAAACTGAAGTGTTTACAGACTGAATGATTTGTCTGGAATCTATTTTAAAATAATTTGGGGAGTAGGAAACTGGCAGTGTATATGAAACAAAATTGGTAAAACATGGATCATTATTGAAGCTGAGGGTATAAGTTTCATATATTATTTGCTCTGATTTTTTTATGATTAAAATTTCTGTAAGGGGGGAAAAGAAAAGAGATTAATTACAAGCAAAATGTCAGCAGTTACTAAATATGGAGATGGTGACATCCTTTGTGTATGGTTAAAATTTTACATAACAGTAAATTGGAAGGAAAAAATGTATTGCATTCTGTAATAACAAATTTTAAAATATCTGTTTTCATTAGCCCTCAGGATGAGACACAGATCCCAAATCATAAAGCAGAAAGCCACCCTGAAGAAAATATAAAGGACGATATTCATGAGCAGGAAGAAACTATTGCTTCTTGTGAACAAACTCCTGAGGCTTCTAGAGGAAATCAAACGATGGCAGGTAGATATTCCACATTTCATACTTTTCTCACTGGTGCTTCCTCTGAATTTCTCAACGCATACCTTTGCTTTCCCACATGCGCCTTCAGGAAGGATGTCACTGGAAAGGAAGGAAAGGGGACACGTGCCTACCCAGCTAGATCCACAGGGTCTGTCCTGGCTTGGGAATCTGTTGCTTCTCTCTCTCTCTCTCCCTCCCATCTCAACCTTAACACATATACCACAAATTTTTTCTACTAAGATCTTTCAGTACATGGAAAATGTACCTGCTTCTCTGAGGCTGGACTCTCAGAGTAGTCACAAACCTACCACTTCGGGAACTGTGTAAGATTTAATATCTAAACTAGTAGCATGACCTTGTTTACTCTAGCCCCTGCTAGAATCCACACTTGGACGTTTCCTTGAGAGAAAATCGTGATCCATAGTACGTCACAAAATAAAAATTTCTATTTTTTTTTAGAATCTTCACAGATTTTTCTCTTTTTTTCTTTATGATGTTTGGCAAGGGGTGGGGAGAGGGATCATACCACTGGTGCATATTATCAGCCTTACTTCTCATAGTCCATAAGCAAAAAATCCATTCTTTATTTTTTAATGTTTATTTCTTTATGTTGAGAGAGAGAGAAAGTGGGGGAGGGGCAGAGAGAGAGGGAGACCGAGAATCCCAAGCAGGCTCCAGGCTGTCAGCACAGAGCCCCTGACTGGGCTTAAACTCCTGAACCCGTGAGATCATGACCTGAGCCAAAATCAAGAATTGGATAACTGACTGAACCACCAGGCACCCCTGGAAAAAACTATTCTTAATCCTGCCTTCCTTCACCTTTCTCCCCATCATTTTGCAGACAAGCAAATAAAATGAAATCCAATTATTTGGTACTGTTCTTCTTAGGAGGAGCATTGGATTCTGGCAGAGTATTTTCTGTATCTTACATGCATGTAACATGCAAATTTATATTATGAGTCGTGTTTCCCTGTAGCCAACATTAAGCATTGTCTTTTGCCTCTGTCGCTTATAAGGCAGTTTTTTGTCACTGACCACTTCCTGTTACTGTTTTGGCACGTCTGCGTAAAGTGTGTGGGTGCATTAAAATCACAACATTTAAACTGTTCATACTATTTAGCTGCATGAAACTAGAAAGTCTGTTAAAGTGAGACCCAGCAGTGCCTGGCTGGCTCAGTCAGTAGAGCATGCAACTCTTGATCTCAGGATTATGAGTTCAAGCCCCATGTTGGGCACAGAGCTTACTAGATAGATAGATAGATAGATAGATAGATAGATAGATAGATAGATAGATAAACAGACCCAACAAGAGGGCTTCCTTGACAGACACCTAAAAATTAACCTCAAAGCCAAAAAAAAAAGACAAGAATTTTTTTTTCCAATTTGGTTGATGTATAATTGACACATAACATTGTATACGATGTTTAAGGTATATAAGGAAGAAGAATTTTAACAGTCTTCAAGAGACATTTCATGCTAAATAATCAATTGCCAATTTAGAAAACAACAGAAACCAAATACAACTATTAATTCCTTCCTGAAACATGTTCCTATTTTATGGGATCACAACATCAGGATTTCCTTCTCCAAGTGTATCCTAAACATGTGTACCTTCTTGCATTCTCTTGGTCTGTTTTAGTGAAAAGTCTGTCCCCATCTCCTGAGTCCTCAGCATCTCCGGTTCCAGCCGCCCAGCCGCAGCTCACGGAAGGATCCCATTTCATGTGTGTGTAGTCTCAGAAAAAGTACGTCTGTTCCCTTTGCGTCCGTGCTTTAACTTCAGAGTTTTTAACTTGAGTTGTATCCATTTGTTGCTTTAGTGAACAAAAACTGAGATTAATTCTGGGCCGTGCACTAGAGATTGTTGGCAGAGCAAGGAGGCCATGTATTTGAGCCACAGGCACTAACTCAGATCTCCATCAGCCCTTCCAGTGATTTGCTGTGTGACAACATTTTCTCTGTCTCTTATTTCATCGTCCATAAAAACAGCAAAACGGGAAAGGTATAGCCCGTGCCAAGACAGGCCGCACGGGGTTTTGCAGCTGTGCCCCCACTTAGCATTCCTTTCCGTAGTCGGACCTGAGAATTCTGTTGAAGCAGTTACATGTTGATCAAGTAATGTTTTTTTACAGTTTGTGCAACCCACCTACCGCATCGGGAGTTTATTATTTTAAAAGGACAAAGAAGTGTTTGTGGTACAGCCAACTACAAGGAATATTACAGTCCTTAAGATCTATCAGAAACTATTTCTAAATAATTAATTTTGTTTAAGTAAGAGAAGTAGCTACTAAAAAAGCTGTGGGTGGATGCAGGGGGAAGGACAGAACCTGACTGAACATTGTGCCATAGACCACAGTTTGGGAACTGACAATAATTTCCTAAGGTCTTACTGTTAACACTTTTATAAACAGTTGCTAAATTTTACTTGCCTTTTGTACTTGTAAATACGTACCTTTTTTTTTTTTTTTTTTACTTTTCAGAAGAGCTTTGAGATGTGAAGCTATTTATGCCTTTTTCCTTTTTTTTCTTCAGTGTCTATCAGATCTAGTAATGTGTGCATTAGGATTACCAGCACATTTCTGTTAAACAATTATAAGCAGCAGAAACACATAGAGACATTATAAGCATTGTTGCTAACATATGCTTTGACTTACAGATTCTCAAATTAGTACAAACACTGACTAAGTTCATCCAGTAGTGCTTATTTTCTAGAATCCACTTCCATTCATACCTTTTGTAGCAACTGTAATCTGTGTCCCTTTTTTCATCCAGATGGACTTGTGTCTAACTGTCTTGGCATATTTATAACCTCTGTTTGAGATTATGTCTACCTAGAGCCTAGAAGAGGCCTTTGTTTGTTGTCAGTTGGCATTTATGCAGGATTGACATCCTTTCTGGAGTGACAAACCACCTGTTTGTTACAGTCTTACCTGTGTCTTGCCTCTGTCATTCATGCATTTAAACTTTTAACTTAATAGGTTCTGAAGTGACAGTTGCAACTAGTGACAAGAATACCACCAGAATAGGAATAGCAGCATGCTTGTGTGATTCCTTCTGTGCGAAGAGCTGATAGATGGCCTCTGTCCATCTTCGTGGAGGAATGTAAATTAAAGTCCACTCTCATTATCTTTGGTTCAATAAACAGGTTACAATTCTCTGTACACAGACCAATGATATGAAAGAATGTTGTCTGACAATAAAGAATATGTACAGTTAAAACTCAAGTACATTTCCGGGTTCCTTAAGTTGTTATTATTGGATTTTGTTTTGTTTTACTTTCCCTCTAAGAGCCAGTGGCATTATAAGCTGGAATGGGGTCCAGTTATTGCCGGGTATTTCCTTGTCTTCTGGCGTATGGCCAGAACGACAAGTAGCACTCAGACTTGTATTTTTTTATGTCTTCTCGTTGAGTGTATGTCATGTTGCTGACCTAGTAGTTTTGGCAGGACTTTGGGAAGGTTTACAAATGACACTACTGTGCAGGCAGCTTAATATATTGTTAGATATTTTAGCAAAGTTATGCAAATCTTTGCTTATTTTGTTGATCTTTTTGATTCAGCCATAAATTTGGGTACTCTTTTTTAAAATTCTGAAATGGCCTGGTAAATTAAACCTACGAAATGACAAGAAACGTCCTTCTGTTGTATTATATTTTAGGATTTTCATGGCCATGCCTGTCAGCTCTGCCGTTGTAGAACATTGCCCTCAGTTACTTTAGGAAATGGTCACTCATTAACTTGCAGGTGTCAAAGTAATTTTCCCTGTCTTTATTTTTCAGCTATCCTGACTTCTGTCAAAACCATTGAAAGCTAAGGACGTGGACCTTCAGCAATGTGAGAAGATATTGTACAGTATACTTTAAATCTATGAAATTCATAGTTCTGATGCTTTTGGCCACAGAGCATCATTTTATCACTTCTGGAAAATGTTTATTCCAAACAGCTTTAATGGCTCATATGTACACTCCGTAATCCTAAGGTTGTTGTTCTGACACCAGCTTGCTGCTATGATTTCAGAGCACATAAGTAAAGGTGCTTTTTTAATGTGCGGTCTACAGCCAGAGCTCACTCAGTTGCTGATTTCCAGATTTTGATGTTTCTAAAATTTAGGTGGATTTATATTTCTTTTTGCTTTTCAGTACATAAATTTAGTTATTATTTCGAATGAAGCTTGTTTTCCTTTTTTTTTTTTTTTTCCTTCCCATTTTTGGCTACTGCAATGCTTTGTTTCACACTTGATTTGTAAAAATTTTATATATATATTTAAAATGTGCCATTTTATTACTGCTAAGTGAAGAATGTCCTGTTTTCTGCTACTATTATTTCTCAGATTGCAGCGTCAGCAGTTACTGCCACACTCTTGTCAGCTTAAACACAAATGTTACCGCTTCCTGTTTCTTAAAGGTACAATTTAAAATGTAGGTATTTTGAAGTACTGGGCTTATACTTCATTGGGATAGATGTGTACAGCAATAAGCAGGTTTTCCAATCCAGTACTTAGTTTGTGTACAAATGTAATTATGTTCATTGTGTATATATTATACAATGAGCACATGTAAGTATTAAAGGCTACTTACTATTGTTTAAATGCAAATGTTCATATCTCATTTCTTTTTTATCATGTTAAATAAATGTTGATGTTCTTAAATCACTCGTGTTAGAATTTTTTGCTCTCTCCCATCTAAAACGGGTACGCCTAGGGGCGCCTGGGTGGCTCAGTCAGTTAAGCATCTGACTACAGCTCAGGTCAGGATCTCATGGTTCATGAGTTCAAGCCCCACGTCAGGCTCCAAGCCGTGGAGCCTGCTTCGGATTCTGTGTCTCCCTCTCTCTCTCTGCTCCTCTCCTGCTTTCTCTCTCTTTCTCTCTCTCAGAAAATGGATAAAACATTAAAAATAAAATAAAATAAAATAAAATGAAATAAAATAAAATAGGTATGCCTGGGTGGCTCAGTCGGTTAAGCATCCAACTTAGGCTCAGGTCATGATCTCATGGTTCATGAATTCGAGCCCCACATCGGGCTCTGTGCTGCCTTCTCAGAGCCTGGAGCCTGCTTCTGGGTCTCCCTCTCTCTCTGCCCCTCCCCCACTCGCACTCCATGTGTCGGTCTGTCTCTCTCTCTCAAAAATAAGCATTCAAAAAACTAAAAAAATAAAATGAGAAGACTGTGGGGCACCTGGTTAGCTCTGTCAGTGGAGCATGCAACTCATAATTTCCGGGCTGTGAGTTCAAGCCCCACTTTGAGTGTAGAGATTACTTGAGAAAAACAAAATCTTTCAAAAAAATAAAAAATAAATAAAATGGAAAGTCTGAGACTCAAGGGACTTCTCTATGAAATAATAGACTGTTAATCGTATTATTGTAGATCACATCATAAAAAGGCCTCTTCTGCCATCCAGTCTGGCTCTCCCATGTGAGAGTTTGAGGACCTTGAGGCTCCGAGAGATACATTGACTTGGCCACAGTCACATTATATGTAATGACAGAGTTTGGACCAGAATATACTTTTCTTTCTTCACTTTTCCTCTGAGGCCATTAGCTCAGCACCGCCAGGCAGGTTTTGTTTCCTGAAGTCTTCACACTTCTTTCTGTTTGTTTCTGTGTTGTGGAAACTAGCTCCAAGCATTGACACTCTCTGCTCAGTGCATTGGGCCTGGAGAGGCCTGTGTGGAGCGGAGTGTTATTCCTCTGACATGGGGAACTAGAAACTGTTTCATCATCAGGAGTAGGACCCTCAGAGATCATTTTCCCTTACAATACATTCTTTGCAGATGTTCACGCTCTTCAGAATCAATTACATTTTCTTCCCTCTATAACCTTTTGTTCATGCTATATATTGTTCCCAGAGTACAAGGAAATTTGATGCTTTTGGATTCCTATATGAAATGGCTGAAACTAAATTGGCACCGGTCAGTCTTTCTTTTTTTCTTTTTTCCCCATGCTATGGTAAAGAGGATTTAAATTTAATTCAAAATGCAGATGTACAAAAATTCATCTGCTCCAAACAGAAACACACAAAATGAAATGCAAATAGATGCAGTCTGTATTGTAGGAGGTGAATGAGAAGAGAGGTTAAGATGGAAGGAGAGGGCTCAGCTCTCTGTATCCACGTAAACATGTTTACACATACCACCTTTATCTAAAGACATCATGCCAGCCAAAGTCTTCCAAAGGAAATAGGCAAAAGATTATTCTTTCTTTCCAAGCATGAGATGGTTATGGTTCCAGATCTTTTGTCAGTGGGTTGAGTTACTGTTATTCTTGGGTTTTCCCTTCGGGTTTTCTTGGTGAGGCTTCTTAGGGTTTGATTGATGTGTGTATGTGGTGTGTGTCACTTGGCTTTATTAAACACAACATTTTCTGAGCTGTTTCAAGAAGGAAGAACGTCCCATACTTGAATACCTGCAAGCCAAAGGAGTTTAGAAAAAGCAGTACAGAGGACTTGTAACTTTTGTCAACCTTTCAGAAAGCCAGATGAAAATCAGGTGCTTAAAAACTGTAGGTCAGCAAGGGTACCTGTAACAGGAGATAGCAAAAGGGACTCTTCTCCAAAAATATGGACTAGATCAATACTTTCTATCTCACCTAAAACTTACCTTACTCAACTCCATCTTACTGGAGAGGTGTGCAGAGAGCCCAGGGAGTACAGAGACTCATAGTAAGGAGGGCAGACAAGCCGGAAAGAACCTTACTCCAAATGGGGGTTCGTCACCGGCACCACCCTTCCAGCATGGA